CACACACACACACACACACACACACACATACATACATACATACATACATACATATACACACACACACACACACACACACACAGAACACATACACAGAACACATACACACACACACACATACATACACACACACAGAACACATACATACACACACACACAGAACACATATACACACACACAGAGGGATGGTCAGAGACACACACACACACACACACACACACACACACACACACACACACACAAACACACATACACACAGAGGGATGGTCAGACACACACACACACACACAGAGGAATGGTCAGACACACACACACACACACGCACAGAGGGATGGTCAGACACACACACACACACACAGAGGGATGGTCAGACACACACACACACACACACACACAGAGGGATGGTCAGACACACACACACACACACACACACACACACACACAGAGGGATGGTCAGACACACACACACACACACACACACAGAGAGAGAGTCACACACACACACACACAGAGACACTCACACACACACACACAGAGACATAGTCACACACACACACACACACACACACACACACACACAGAGGGATGGTCAGACACACACACACACACACACACACACACACACAGAGGGATGGTCAGACACACACACACACACACACACACACACAGAGGGATGGTCAGACACACACACACACACACACACACACACACAGAGGGATGGTCAGACACACACACACACACAGAGGGATGGTCAGACACACACACACACAGAGGGATGGTCAGACACACACACACACACACACAGAGGGATGGTCAGACACACACACACACACACACACACACAGAGGGATGGTCAGACACACACACACACACACACACACACACACACAGAGGGATGGTCAGACACACACACACACACACACACACACACACACACACTCACCGGTGTAGTAGCGGCGCAGGTCTGTGAACAGCTGTGTGATGATGTGAGCATTCTGTGTGTAGCGGCGGCCGTACGTGTGTGTGAACATCTCACTCATGGACTCCTCCGACACGTCGATCAGCTTCCGGAACAACTCTGACGACAGACACACGAGGAAGAGGAAGAGGAGGAGCAGGAGAGGAGGAGTAAGAGAGGAAGAGGAGGAGCAGGAGAGGAGGAGTAAGAGAGGAAGAGGAGAAGGAGAGGAGGAGCAGGAGAAGAAAAGGAGGACCAGGAGCAGGAGAAGAGGAGCAGGAGAGGGAGAGGAGAGGAGGAGCAGGAGAGGAAGAGGAGGAGCAAGAGAGGAAGAGGAGGAGCAAGAGAGGAAGAGGAGGAGCAGGAGAGGAGGAGCAAGAGAGGAAGAGTAGGAGCAGGAGAGGAAGAGGAGGACCAGGAGAGGAAGAGGTGGAGCAGGAGAGGAAGAGGAGGAGCAAGAGAGGAAGAGGAGGAGCAGGAGAGGAAGAGGAGGAGCAGGAGAGGAGGAGCAGGAGAGGAAGAGGAGGAGCAGGAGAGGAAGAGGAGGAGCAGGAGAGGAGGAGCAGGAGAGGAAGAGGAGGAGCAGGAGAGGAAGAGGAGGAGGAGGAGCAGAAGAGGAGGAGCAGGAGAGGAAGAGTAGGAGCAGGAGAGGAAGAGGAGGAGCAGGAGAGGAGGAGCAGGAGCAGAAGATGAGGAGCAGGAGAAGAAGAGGAGGAGCAGGAGAGGAAGAGGAGGAGCAGGAGAGGAGGAGCAGGAGAAGAAGAGGAGGAGCAGGAGAGGAAGAGGAGGAGCAGGAGAGGAAGAGGAGGAGCAGGAGAGGAGGAGCAAGAGAGGAAGAGGTGGAGCAGGAGAGGAAGAGGAGGAGCAAGAGAGGAAGAGTAGGAGCAGGAGAGGAAGAGGAGGACCAGGAGAGGAGGAGCAAGAGAGGAAGAGGAGGAACAGGAGAGGAAGAGGAGGACCAGGAGAGGAGGAGCAGGAGAGGAAGAGGAGGAGCAGGAGAGGAGGAGGAGGAGCAGGAGAGGAGGAGCAAGAGAGGGAGAG